CGGAAAGTCCCGGGCGTAGAAGTTGGGGCTGGGGCGAGTTAGAGGGGAGGCCACTTGGGGGCGGGGGTGGGGTGATGAGGGCCAGCCCACCCTCCCCAAACTACCCCAGAAACACACAAGACTACGAAGTCCTTTGGAAGTTTTATTAGTTCTTATCCCTCCGGTTCTCAGGTTATAAAAGGGGACCCAGAGGCCTGGCTGCAAGCGGAATTGGAGAATGAGGGATTGGAAGGCAGAGGAGAGAGAGTGGTTGGGAGCAGGCGGGACTAAGGCAGGGCCATAATGGGGGCACTGGTTCCAGCCTGGACTGGACAGAGCTCAGGGCTCAGGATAGGGGGGCCTCCATGTGGCCAGGTAGGGGCACAGCTTGCTCAGGACACGGGATGAAGGCAAGTTGGAGGGAAGCAGAGAAGCCCGCATCAACGGGTGCGTGAGGGTGGAGAGGTGTGCTTTTGATGAGTGGACGGCAGGGCTGGGGTGTCCGCCTTCTCCCCCTCCCGGGCTGCCCTGCACCCCCCCCCATTAGCAGAGGCTGCTGATTTCACTCTTGCTGCACCCCCACTTGCAGCAGTTGCTGGAGAGGCCACCCAGAACGTCTCGGCCACCTCGTAGAGCCCCTGGGGTCCCTTGCCAGTTGGGCCGGCCTCCATAGAAGGTCTGGGGGGGCTTGGTCAGGGCCAGCCACTCGCTGGAGCCCACTGCTTCGTCCAGCTCGCCGGCTAGGCCGTCCACCTCGGCATCCGTGTCTGAGAAGGCGTCTCCTGGAAAGCGTGAGAAGCGTAAATGCTGGGGGCTTGACTGCACAACCTGGACCCCGGCCGGCCGTTGGCTGACCCAGCTCCGCCTCCCTTCTTGTGACTTGGACTCTGGGTCAAGTTTTCTACACGAATTGTGCTGGGCTTCAAATTCCAGCTCTGCCACCAGCTCTGGTGGATAGATTATTCAACCCCTTTGAACTTGACTTTCCTCTCCTGTCATTTCTTTTTCTCTATTAAGGACCCGATGGCCAAGAGCAAGCTGAGTCTGAACTGTGGGTTAGATAATAAGTGAATGTTCCTTTATTAGCTTCAGTTTCTTTGTCTGCAGAGTGGGGGAAATAATAAATCCAACTTTGGGTTTTACAGGGAGTAAATGTGTTTTTAAAAAGAAAAATAGAGGGGAGCTCTGGTGGCCTAGTGGCAAGAAACAGCACTGCAACCCCAGAGTTGAGTGGTTCAAATCCACACACATAAAATAATAAAATTAAATTTAAAAAAAAATTAAAAGAAAAAGAAAAATAGAATGGTGTCTGTTGTATAGTAAACACCCAAACTCTCTTGCACACTGTTTTAAGTGTGTTCGTGGATTAACTCTCATCCTTCTCAACGTCAATGCCATGGCAGTAGTGAGGACTGAAGTCTAAAGAGAGAATTTATATAAGACTCAAACTCAAGTCCAATGTCATCAGTTGTGTTCTAACTCACTGTGACCCTGTAGGGCTGAATAGAAATACCCCATTACGGTATCCAAGGCTGGCACCTTGACGGAAACAGATTGCTCTATCTTTCCCCGGCAGAGTGGCTGGGAGTTTGAACTGCTAACCTTTCAGCTAACTTAACCACGAGGTCCCAGGTGTGAAGTTGTAAAGCTGTTATTTAAACGCACACACACACACACACACACACACACACACACACACACACACAGAAACACACACACATGCACGCACAGTGTGTTTCTCTGTTCACACTCCATGACACCATCATCATAAATACATTCTTTTTTCTGCCAGGCCCTTGCCCCTGATAACACCAGGTCTCCTGCCCTCTGCTGTGCCCAGACTCAGTTCCCTGACCAATAGAGACCACGTCCTTATCTGTCCTTATCTGTTTCAGCTCAGCTCTGCCACTTAACAGGGGCTGTCCCTCCAGTTCCACAGAGGAAACGGCTCAGAGAGGGGAAGCAACTTGCAGAGGACAGATATCTATTAGATAACAAAACCTGGCCTCATATCCATGTGTGTTGCCTGCCCAGAGGGCTGGAAGCACTCCAATGCCTTCTTGAACGCCCCCCTATGGAGTTGTACAAATAGAAGTGCCCTTGTCACAGGCTCGGCACACAGAGGTGCTGAGGAACCGGATCGGATCACTGTTCTCTCACTTCTGGCACCATCCCAGCTCTGTGGCTCTGCTCCTCTCCCTGAGCGCTTGGAAGTCTGGGCTACTCTCCCAAGCTGGATGAGAAGGTTCAAGGCCACAGACCTGGACCTGCCTCTCATCCTCCATTCCCAGTTCTTTGGGCCCTTCTGTCATCCCACCTTCCAGCCTCACCTATGGCTTCATGGGTCAGGACATCGGCCCGTCTCCACCGTGAGCCCCCGCAGATGAAGATGACGGCTCGGATGAACTCGCGGCCGCAAAGCTTCACGCCGTAGGGTGCAGCCCGGGCCTCAGCCTGCAGCCACAGTTCCCCGGCCAGCACCCACACTGCTAGCAGCAGTAGGAGTGTGCGCTTGGCCATGCTGGACTCTGACCTGGGAGAGGGCTCAGCGGGCAGTGTCCTGGGTGCTGACTGTTCTGCCTCCATGCTCCCCATTTATATCCCCTGGCATACACCCCCCAGCCTCGTGCCTGCAAGCCGAGTGACCTCTTATCTCCCTTAGCAGAGGAGAGGCTAGCGCCCCTCCACACACCCTGACCTTTTCAGTTCCTCGGTCCAAGAGATAACCTTTCTCCGGGGATGGGGTGACGTGGTCATCTTCCATGCAGATCTTCCATGCTGTCATCTTCCATGCAGATAGGCAAGAAGGTCTCCATTGAGACCGTGACCCTCCCTGACTTCCTAAGGCTAGGCGAGAGCACACAGCCAGATCGACCCCTGATCTCATCTAGAATGACAATAATGACAGTAAGGAAGGCAGCAGCCAGCAATAGCAGAGAACGCTCCTCTGGTGCAGGCCACATGCAGGACATGTGTATGTGTATCGTCTCCCCCCACAACCTCTGACAATGGTTTTCAAACTATAATTAGAATCAGATTCTGGGAAGGGGCTTGTTAAAACTCAGATTGCTAGGCCAAGACTCCCAGAGCCTCTGATTCCACAGGGTCAAGGGGGCACCCGGGAATCTGCATTCCTGATACATTCCAGGGGCACACCATAGCTCTGGTACATGGACCAGATTCTTCTTTCTTTTTTTTTAATTGAAATTTTAATGAAAGTTTATAGAGACTTTGGACTTACATTCATTCATTGTTGCACGTTTTCCTCCCTGCCCACTCCTACCTCCAGTTGGTTTTTCTCTTTGAAATGTAAAAAAAA